GGGAGGGTGGGTGTCTTATGAGCGGGGGGGGGCCTCTTCCAGCCTCAGGGAGGGTATTTCAGTATGTTAATGAGGTGAGGTCACGGCAAGTTTAATTAGCCATTGTTTTCCGGTTTGCTCAGAGCCGCAGAGCCATCAGTGTGGCACCTGCCTTCAGCTCTGCTTCCCCCTCCAGACCAGCTCGGTGACCCCCATTCCATCGGACACTGACCTATCCTCCACATCACTGCCACCAAGGGTCACCGTTCCCCGACTCCCTGGACTCCTCTGCTGGCACCCCAGCACACTGTGGCACAAAGCCTGGCACAAAGGTCCCTGTCCTGCTATAGTCAGGGGGGGTGACACCAGCGGGACATCCTGAGCAGGGGCAGAAAGGGACCAGGCTTGACCCCCCCTCAGCTCCCCCCGCTACAGTGCCACGTGAGGCCCGGGGCCAATTCCTGTTTCTCGCTTCCGCATCCGACCACAATCGAAAGGGAAAGGACCGACCTGCAGCCTCGACCTCGGTGTCACCTCCACTGCCTCGGCACGGCTGCTGCACCCTGGCGTTACCACTTGCACCCTGGCATTGCCACCTGCACCCTGGCACTGACACCCACACCCTGGCATTGCCACCTGCCCCTCAGCATTGCCATCTGCACCCCAGCATTGCCACCCACACCCTGGCATTGCTACCCACACCCTGGCACTGCCACCTGCCCCTCATCATTGCCACCTGCACCTCAGCATTGCCACCTGCACCCTGGCACTGACACCTGCACCCTTACCCTGCCACCCACACCCTGGCACTGCCACCTGCCCCTCAGCATTGCCACCCACACCCTGGCAGTGCTGCCCATCATGGGGGTGTTCCCAAGCAGGAGCATCAGCAGTGGTGGTGACGCTCATAGTGCCCACTGGAGGCACCAGGACAGACGAGGGTGATGATGCTGGAGCAGGTTTATTGCATGGTTCCGGGTGCAGTGCTGGGTGCAGCAGCCCCGTGCTCACCAGATGAAGAGGGGCTGCCCATCCTCCCGCGCCATCTCCTGCAGGCAGGTCAGCAGCACCAGGCAGTCACGCTGCAGCTCGGGTGCCATGGTGTTGGGGTCGTTGAGCAGGCTGCGCAGTCGGGCCGGCACGACGCTGGAGTCCACCCGCATCCCCGGGGGCATCAAGCCGTAGGTGTTGACCAGGTATGCTGCCCAGGCTGAGTGCACGGCCGGGCTGTAGCCCAGCGCCCGCAGCCGCCTTATCAGCTCCAGGTAGCGCTGCACTGCCCCCAGAGACTGCTGCTCCTCCAAGCCCCCCGGCACGCCCATCAGTGCCGTCTGTTGGGACATAGGGCATGGGGTCACTGCAGCACCAGGGCCAGAACCATCCCCCGTGCCCCACCCTGGCCACCCCAGCCCACCTCCATGATCTTCTGGGGTATGTTGGAGACGGTGATGCCATAGTGGCGGGACAAGTGGGGAAAGATGCGAGTCAGGATGCGGCGGTCCAGCTGGAAGGCCATCTCGCCCAGCAGGTGCTCCCAGGTGGGCTGTGATGCCTCCTGGGGTGGTGGTGGAGGCCCCTCTGAGGAGCCCGTGTCTGGTGCTTCCAAGATCTGCGGTGTGGAGCTGTCAGGATACGAGGAGACGGAGGGCAGCTGGAGGGCAGGGGGGGCTGTAGCATTGAAGCGTTCAAAGAGGTGGCGGTTTTCGGTGTTCGAGGTGGAGTGTGTCATCAGTGGGAGACCTGGAGGGATGGTGTGGGATGGGATGGAATTGGGATGGGATTGGATGGTATTGGATGAGATGGGGATGGGATGGGTGGGTATGGGATGGGGCTCAGCCCACCCCATCCCTCCTCCCATGAGTTTGGGCTCAGCCTACTGCCTGCCCCTCAGTACTTGCGAGCTTGGGAACGTTCAGAAAGGTCCCACTGCTGGTGCCGGTGCTGGTGCTGATTCTGGAGTCAGTGGTCTTGGGCACCAGGTTGCCATAGGAGTCCTTATCCCAGGGCAGGTTTTGGAAGACAGAGCTCTGTTCCACTGGGAGATCCCAGTTCAAGGAGGGGATATCTGCAGGAAGAGGGGGGTGATTGTGGTGTTGTCCCTCCAAGCCTGGGGGCCACCACAGGGTCTTCCATGCCCTTACCTGGGCTGGGGAAGGCAAAGCGGATGGTGGGAGCATGAGTGTCACGCAGGTTGGGGGGAGCAGAGCTTGGCATGCCATGCATCTGGTAGCGTGGGACGTTCCGCGTGTTAAGCTGTGCCCTGACTTGCACCACCTCCCGGCGCAGGCCCTCGTTCTCTGCCAGCAGTCCCTGGATGTGCCCCAGCAGATGCTGGTAGGAGGCTATCACCGCAGCTGCTTTGTTTGTGCTGGGGATCTCCATGGTGGGCACCAGCATTGGGCTCTGCCACCCCCGTGTGCCCCACGCCAGGGGCAGCACCAAGACCAGGGGTGGGAATGACCCTAGATCACCACAGGACACCAGATTCCAAAGTCATAGAGTCATAGAACCATGGAATGGTGAGAAGGAACCTCTGAAGTTCCAACTAGGGACACCTCCTATTTAGCCAGAGTGCTCTAAGCCCCATCCAACCTGCCCTTCAACACTGCCAGGGATGGGGCAGCCACAGCTTCCCTGGGCAACCTGGGCCAGGGGCTCCCCACCCTCACAGCCCAGAATTTCTCCCTCCCATCTCAGCTCCAGCTCCCTCTGCCAGCTGGAAACCCTTCCCCCTGCTCCCATCCCTCCCTGCCCTTGTCCCAAGCCCCTCCCCAGCTTTCCTGGAGCCCCTTCAGGTACTGGAAGCTGCTCTCAGGTCTCCCTGGAGCCTTCTCTTCTCCAGGCTGAACACCCCAACTCTCCCAGCCTGGCTCCAGAGCAGAGCTGCTCCAGCCCTCCCAGCACCTCCATGGCCTCCTCTAGACCCTTCCTTTTAGCAGTATCTGGCTGGGATGTGGTTTCTTTCCCAGGATATCAAGCAGTCTTTCTTTCCAGCTGCTGGGGTGTTACTGTTGCTGTGTTTATCCTTCTGTTTTTCTGGGGAATGGTGCAGTCAATGCACCATGCAGCCCTCACCCTCCTCTCCAGTGCCCAGCCCAGAGCTGCCTGGTCACCTGCAGTTGTGTTTCTGACTCGTGGTGCTGGGTGGGCTCCTCAGAGCTCCTGAGGCTGGGGAGATCCCGGGATCTGGGCATGGAGCTGTGCTGGAGCTCGAGAAGAGGAACAAGGCCCCCAGGAGCAGAAGCTCGCTCTGCTTGTCAGCATTTTTGGGCTGTTCAGTTCCTGAAGTTGGAAGCCAGTTTGCACAAGGCCAAGGGACAAGCACCCTGGCCATGCTCCTGGCACCAGAGCCTTTATCCCAGCTCGGTTTGACTTCCTGGAGCCTGGTCTGTGTCTGCACAGGGAGAGGATGGGGACTGCCATTGCTGCTGTGACACACTGGCCCTTTGCCATTTCAGAAGGTGCTTTTTTTACCCAGTTGTTTCAAGGTTGTCACTCTTTGTGGTTGTTTTTTCTTGTTGTTTTGGGTATGGGGTTTTTTGTGGTTTTGTTGTTGTGTTGTTTTTTGTTTTTATTAACTGTCTGAATAAAAAGGAAAAGGGAAAAAAGAAAACAAAAAAAAATATATCAGACTTTTGTGCTCTGTGTCTGCTGCTCCTTATCAGGAGATTCATGCTCTGGATCAGTCAGTGCTGTCAGTGTCCCTAAGGACCAGGTGCATTGTCCTGTGACGCCATCCCCAGCACCCACCCGTGCAGAGGAACCAAAATCTGGGCTCTCTGCGTGCCCAGCTCAGTGGGGTGACAAGCCTTGGGTTGGGACAGCAGGGTTGGTGACCCAGGTGAGCCAGCACCGACAGCCCTGCCTGGCTCCTTGTGCTGCCTGTGACACAAAGGAGGGACCAGCAGGGACTCCAGAGCCACTGACCAGTTGGTCGGGGGGTCCCTCGGCCCCTCTCCCTCCTCAGGCAGGGAGGGACACCAGGTATAAGCCTTGACTAACATGTTGCTGCAATTAAGGGTAATTAAGGGAAGAGCAAGGATGTGCCCCTGTGCCCATTTTGGATGGATCCTGAAACACAGGGTGAGAGGGCATCCCCTAAAAACTGGGAAGAGGAAACCATGTCATCAGTGGTGGTTGCAGCACCAACTCAGGGGGAGTGAAAACAGCCTGAAAATGGGTCTGCAGAGTTGGAACAATCATGGGGGAGTTCAGGGGTTGCAGCTGATGCTGGTTTAATCTTGGTGTGAGGTTTGTGGAGGTTGTACCCAATGAATGGAAACAGCTGTGAACATGGCTGAGGTGATGGTGAGCTCTGGCTCCATGGCCAGCCTGGGGACAGGGAGGTCACCATCAGGGGCCTGCCAGGACCTTCAGTAGTGACACTGGTGTGACAGCACAGCAGGTCTGTGGTGGCACAGAGTGGAGTGTCCTCTGCTCACCGTCCCCTCCAGGGGACCCCTGGGGTTGGTGTCTTGGAAGGGCCGTCAGCAAAGCCCACAGAGCTCACAGGGAATCCCCACGAGGGGTTTCTCTTGGGCAGGAGAGAAGGGTCTCCTGGCCTGGGGACAGAACAGCCCTCCTTGTGATTGGAGAGCCTGGAGGGCTCATTCTTCTTGGAATGTGTGGCAGGGATGCCCAAGCTGTGCATTCCATTAATTGAATTCCTTAAAAGGTGCCCATAAGATGATGGACTGTTGCAGAATCATTCTTGCAGCCTCCTGCCCAGCCTCCCTGCACCCTCCTCCTTACCCCCCGAAAGGCCCTTCTCCCAGGTGGAATCTCGCTGTCTGCCCCTTTGGAATGCCAAGGGCAGAGCCCATGGGAATGGGATCCCCAGGCTGCCCCCCTGGGCTGGTGCCCCATGGCTCCAAACCCCACTCAGGCTGCAGTGGATCCCTGGGGTGCTGGAGCCAGAGCCTGGTCTGTCCCAGCCCCATGCAGGAGCTGCTCTCTTCATCCTGGGGAGGGGCTCCAGTCCCAGCTGGCCCTTTTCCCTCCTCAATCCCACAGGGAACGAGCCCCACGGGGAATGAGTTCCACTACCCCTGCTGTTCCAGCAGCTTCCGTATCCCCCCTGCTGGGGTTCCAGTGGAGGGGCTGGTCCCACCGTGTCCAGCTGCAGCTCTGCCCTGCCAGGCCATGGGGTTGCATTCCCACAGGGAAGGGCTGGAGATGGGATTCAGGCTTGGGGTGCTAGCAAGGGTCCCTAGTAACTCATTAACATGTTACTGGTTTGTTAATGGGTCAGTGTTTTCTCTCCTGTCCCCTGTCCTGCAGGTGTCCCACAGCCTGGGCAGTGACTGCTTGGGGTGTGTTTGTCTCTAATTGGGGTCTGGTTTATATTTCTAATTCCTGCTGTTTCACTTTTATCTAAGCTCTGTTGTTATTATGCATGTCCCTCTCTTTTTTTCTTTTTACATGATTTCCCCCCAAATGTGATTTTTTTTCCCCCAAAATGTGATTTTTTTCCCCAAAAATTTTACTTATTTCAATCAATAACTGACATCAGTTCCCCCTCTTTGAGGCTTAGATATACACAAACTTTTACTCATTTAACTCTTGCTCATGTTTTCCTTCTTGGACGTATTTTCCCAGCAACATTTGAGCAGGTTCTGTAGCGTTTCCTCCTCATTAAGTCTGGGAGGAGTTTTCCTGGGGAGCAGATCTTGGCCACAGCACCTGGAAGTGCAGCATGTAGGCACAAACAGACACAAAATACTGATATAAAAATAACTGACAATCTAAACGAACTCCCTGAGCCCAGAAACCAAGAAGTCAGCCAATCCCACATTTCAGTCAATCACAGAGACATGTCATCCTCTTGTATTTCATGGAAAACTGGGGTCTGTTGAGCTCTGGTTGACCTGGATGCTCCACACATTGAAGGGAGAACTGCTGGGGTTCATGCTGCTCTCACACAGGATAATACAGGCGCTTCCAGGGGGGACTGAGCTCTGAATGAGGATTCCCCAATTCCCAGGCACAAGTCATTAATTAAAGTTGATTTCTAGAAATTTTCAAGTTGATGTTCCCTGTCCCTTGGGAGGAGTGTCCTTCCCTCAGGGGTGATGGATCCAGTAGCTGATCCGACTGTTATGGAATTGACTAAATTTTGAGCATTTAGAAGGCCTGGACCTGGTTGGGCCTGACCAAGACCAGGCTTTTAGGAAAAAGTGTTCGTATAGGAATCATACTGGGAGGGGGAGAGGGTAATTAAGTTTTAATTCAGTAGTCACAGAAGCCACATGTGCTAGACAAGCAGCACATACAAGTAGCTGAGGGCTAGTGTTGCATAAAGAGTAAGATATTATGCTTAAGCAGCTACCGTGGGAAGAATAACACAATAATAAATCTGAAACCTACCACAGGGTTGCCAAGGTCACAGTAACCAGTTATGCTGCTCGAATATCCCCTTTCTCCATCCCAACCTGGTTTGAATATCAGGGACTACAATCAATATGGTGTCCAATGATTGTTGTTAGAAATGAATATGTATGAAGTTATGTAACTCAAAGGGGCCAATCAATTCAAAGGTTAAACTTAATGAATAATTAAAAGTGAGCATTATATGCATTTTTATGTCAAATATTTGGACAACGGGAATTCAATATATAAAAATCTGTTGATTGTAATGCAACTCAGGATACACTGGGAGGAGTTATCCCTGTATCCTCCGTGCATCAAGTAAGGAAGTGTCTGCTGATCTGCATCACGTTGGTGTCAATCAGTTATTTTTCCCATATTTGGTGACACTGGTCACCTCCTCTGTGGTCAGCAGGGAATCACAGGGTCCCTCCCACTGCTCCTTCCATGGCTCCTCCTGCCAAGTCCGGATGTGGACTGAGTCTCCTGGCTGGAAATGAGACACAGGTGAGTCCAAAGGCAGAGGAGCTGGCTCAGTTACCTGCGACAAAACCACAACAGAAACATCAAATAACCTGTCAACATTCCTGCCCTTTGGAGATCATTCCTTCACTTCCTGCCCTGGTGCTGTTGGCTGGATAAGGATCACCACACAGAACCATCATGGGATCACTCATTCCCTGACTCTGAGTGATGCTGCCTCTCAGTGAGGCCAGGTAGAAGGTCTGTCCCCTCCAGGGGAGGTTCCTGGCACAATTCAGACTTTCTCTTCTAACAATCTGGTCCATTCTCTCTGCCTTCCCACTGGACTGTGTGGTCCATGGGGTGTGCAAGTTCTGTGGGAACTGTAAGGAGCTTGGACACTCCATGGACCACCTCCATAACAAAGTGGGGTCCATCATCAGAAGACAGGCCCTCAGGATTCCCCAAACTAGGAATTTGTAACTCCCCTGCCCCATTTGGTGCAGCAAGGAAAAGCTTCTGCCCATCCTGACAAAGTGCCCTGAGATAAAGCAGATGCTTTATGGATTAGATTTCTGGTAACTCAGAGAAATCTCTTTGCCAATATTCTCCTGGAGTTTTCATGTTTCCTGCTGGGGGTTTTCTTTGTACCTGGGGCTTCTTTGTGCCACAGGTTTTCACCTTTTCACCATGAGGTCAGCCCCAGTCTGCATTTTTGGCTCAATGGCAGATCTTTAATGTTCTTCACCAATGTCTCTGCACCCATGTGAATTTCTTCACGTGATCTCTTCAGAAGGATTTCCATCACCTTGGAGGTGGTAAGAACCTCTTGGTTTGAGGTAACCCACCAGCCTTCTTCATCTTTGGAGCATTTTAATGTCACTGCCAGTTGATTCTCCTGTTCTGTGTACTGGGGTGGGTTCACATTGACTTCTCTTGTAGGCATCACCTGTGACCAAGTCCATACCTGCATTCCTCAGAGGTGCAGCAATGAGACCACACTTGGGTATCCAGCTTTGACACCACCCAGCCATTCCCAGGAACCCTCCCAGTTCACCTCTAGATCCAGGCACTGCAGTTCTGCATCTTGCCTCCCTGCATCCAGTCTCCAGATCTCTTTGTCCTCTGGAGATCCCACTGCCCAGATTCTGGACCTTCCCTTTCCCACCTGCTCTTTCGTCCTGGAAACCCTGTCACCTGCCAGGCCCAGGAAGTTCATTAACTGCAGGTGGATTTTCCACAGTCCTCTTCCCCATGGGCACTAGCCAGTGTGTCATCAACAGCCTGACACTCAAGTGACACACGTCTTGTCACCTGGTCACAGCTCCGGCTCTTTGCCAGTTCCTGACGGAACAGGGTGGGACTGTTCCCGGAACCCTGTGGAAGCACCAGCCCACACAGCTGCTCCTTCCTCTCTGCTCTTGGATCTTCTGCTCAAATGCTGCAACGGTTCAGCTGCCCTTGTCCCCTGGGATGCAGCAGAAAGATCCTTCAGATCCAGAGCTGTGAGATCAACTTTTGTCCTGACTATGGACATGATGCCCACGGGGTGGGAACAACAGGATGCACGTCCACCGTTGCTTTCCTGTAGATCCTGAACCAGTCTATATTCCTGAGACTGAGGTGTTTTTCCTGGTAGTGCAGGACGGTTAAATTCAAACTGGCATTCCTTCCACAGTCCGTGTTTTAAAAAGGTGGCAATGACTGGTTCCAGCCCTTCCTGTGCTTCCAGTTGTATGGGATACTGTGTCCTTCTTCCCGGCCAAGTTCCAGGCTTCGGCTCTGCCTGATCAGGTGTCACATCCTCTGCTCTACTTGGTTCCTCCGAAGTCCACCAGAGGAATCACCGCTCCTATCCCGGTGTCTGGAATTTCATCCGCAGGTTCCTCCTGTGCCTCCCACGCCATCTCCTGGGGAACGTGGGACTGAGCTCCCAGGAAAGGTGACCGGAGCGTCACAACAAATCCCGTCCCAAAAAGGGCAGGGACATCCCATCACGGGGACAAATCCTGGAATTAATTTCTCACTTCCAGTTGTTCGCTCCATTGGTTCCAGGAATGGGTTTAAACTCTCCCGCGACCCCGGCACTCGGGACTGTAGCGACACCCAAATGTCCTGACTCTGCTGCCTAATTAAACATCTCTTGTTTCACCCCAGCCTCATTAGTCCAGAGGATCAGCGGAGGGAATATCAATAACCTCCCCTCTCCCAGTCAGACTCCTCCACCACCACCAATTCCCACCACTTTCCCAGTGTTCCCATTCCCTCCCTTCCTTGCTTCCCTGGGTGCTCGGTTCCCAGTGCGCCCCCTCCCGGCAGATCCCACCAGGATCAGTGACACTGTGTGTGACAGCGAGTGTGTGTGTGACACTGTGTGTGTGTGACACTGAGTGTGTGATACTGTGTGATCTGGAGACCCCCCCTCCAAGCCCCCAGAGCAGAGTCACCCCCAGCAGGTCCCACAGGAGCCTCCAGAGGGGCTGGGGTGTCTCCAGAGAAGGAGCCTCCACAGCCTCTCTGGGCAGCCTGGCCCAGGGCTCTGCCACCCTCCCAGGCAACAAGTTCCTCCTCCTGGGGAGCTTGACCCTCCTGTGCTCCAGCTTGTGCCCATGGCCCCTTGGCCTGTCCCTGGGCAGCCCTGAGCAGAGTCTGGTCCCCCCCTGCTGACCCCCTGCAGATCCTGCTCAGCCTTGAGGAGACCCCCCCCTCAGGCTCCTCCTCTCCAGCTGAACAGCCCCAGGTCCCAGGTGGCTGGGGACGCCTCCAGCCCTCCCCAAAAGCCCAAACTCAGGAATCTCCCCGAAGGAGTTGCCCCTTCCTGGGGGGAAGAGAAGATCAGACCATTCCAGGGGAAGTTCTTCTCTCCTGAACACAGCATTCAATAACTAATTTATCACCTATTGCTGAAGTGGGACTTAGGTCATAATGAGTACACTGATTGGTTCCTCACAGACTAATGATATGTATTAATGATGCAAAAGCCAGGGGACACGCCCAGTGCCCCTCACACATCAAGTCAAGCTCCATTGAGGCGCAGGGCTCACTGGGCGTACAGATCTCCAGGGGGACACATCCAGGCTTTGATCCCGGCCACTATTTCATGACTCCTGAGCCAGGAGCCTTCCCAGGGCTCCAGGAGCCAGGCCTGGTCTGGCCATGGACCAAAAGGCACCTGGTAGGACACTGAGCAGACCAGGACAGGATGGATCTCCACTCTAGCCGCTCAGGACACCAGATAGACACAAACTGACCCCCTGGTGAGGTCCGAGCCGAACACCCCATTCCACCTGGATCATCCTACATGGCTTATCCCACAGGGCTCATCATAGATTCATCAAGGTTAGAAGGGACCTTAAAGATCATCTAGTTTCAACCCCTCTGCCATGAGCAAGGAACTCTCCCACTAGACGAGGTTGCACAAAACCTCATCCAACCTGGCCTTAAAGACCTCCAAGGATGGGGCATCAACAATCTTCCTGGACAACCCAACCCAGTTCCTCACCACCCTTAGAGTGAAGAATTTATTCCTAATATGTAACCTAAATCTCCTCTCTCTCAGTTTAAAACCATTCCCCCTTGTCCTATCACTGTCTTCTCTGGTGAAAAGTCCCTCCCCAGCTTTCCTGGAGCCCCTTCAGGCCCTGGAAGCTGCTCTAAGGTCTCCCTGGAGCCTTCTCTTCTCCAGGCTGAACACCCCAACTCTCCCAGCCTGTCTCCAGAGCAGAGCTGCTCCAGCCCTCCCATCATCTTGGTGGTCCTTCTCTGGACCCTCTCCAACAGGTACATATCCTTCTTGTGCTGAGGGCACCACAATTGCACACATCACTCCAGGTGGGGTCTGACCAAAGCAGAGTAGAGGGGCAGAATCCCCTCCTGGCCCTGCTGGACACGCTTCTCTTGCTGCAGCCCAGGATGGGTTTGTCCCTCTGGGCTGTGAGTGCACGCTGGCAGCTCATCCCACATGGATCATCCCACAGGGCTCACCCCACACAGATCATCCCACGGCTCCTGCTAAGGAATCAAGGCACATTCCCAGCTCTGCTTTCCCATGGCGTCTCACCTTGCTCTGGCTTCTGCTCTTTCTCTCCCCCTCTCTCAAGGTTATTCCCAGTTACATCAGCCAATAATGACGCCTGCAAGCCTATTTTGTTTGGTTTTCCCTTTTCCTCCCGCTCTCCCACCTCACTCTGCACCTTGGGTGCCATTTCAGCCTATGGGGGCTCAGCATCCCTCCCCCCCAGTTCCTCAGGCTGTCTCCAGGAGTAATCTTCCTGTCCCTTCCAAATGATGGGACAAGAGGGAACAGCCTCAAGTTGTGCCAGGGGAGGTTGAGGTTGGATCTGGGGAACAATTCCTTCCTGGCAAGGGTTGTCAGGTCCTGGCCCAGGCTGCCCAGGACAGGGGGGGGGTCCCCATCCCTGGAGGGGTTTCCAAGCCCTGGGGATGTGGTGCTGAGGGACATGGGGCAGTGGTGGCCTTGGCGGGGCTGGAGGAATGGGCAGGCTGGAGGATCTTAAAGGGCTTTTCCAACCTGAACCATTCCCTGATTTCATCTCCATCCCCCTTCTGCAGTGCTTCCAGGAACCCCAGAACCAGTCCCCCAGGAACTGAAGCCCACCCAGTAGCCCCTCATCGCCCGGTGGGCAGTGGTACCAGCCCGTCCAGCCAGTGCTGGTGCTGGTGGTGGCAGGGAAAGAAGATCTGGAGCCATCGGGGGTGAACGAGACGGAGGTTTATTAACAGCAGGAGCTGGAGCCCTGGGACGGGGCAGGGAGGAGCCTTGGCCACGCGGGGAAGGGTCCAGGACCCCCACTGTGGGGCAGGGATATGGGGGCTCAGGTGTGGGGAGGGGGCCAAGACCCCTGCTGTGGGGAAGGGAGGGGGCTCAGGCAGGGGGGGGGGGCCAGG